GGAAGGAAGTAAATCGGGCAGATATCCTTTGAGGCTTTTTCACACCTCAATAGGACTTATCGATCGGCACATGAACGGACGAAATCGGATTCCGGCACCTGGGAATGTTCCCTCGTTAGCCGAAGATTTCCCATTCAATTCTCTACAAAAAAAATGTATTGACTATTTTATGAAAAAATCCGAGAATTTGTGTCAACATAGATAAAAATAGTGCCAAAAAATTTTGGATCTTTTTTGTGCGTGATTATAAAAGAACTTTTTTTTAAGTTTTACTTGTTAGTGATCTGACACTATAGAGACTACTCAAAATAAAATAAAAGTTCAACCTGAAAGGATGACATTTGAGTAAATTACATTTCTTTTAGCGAAAATCACAACATTTACTGATAAAATACCCTCATCTTTAGAAAATTTAAAAAAAAACAAAAAAACAGAATTATTACACCTTCAATTCTAACTATAAATTTTTTAATTACAATAGAAAGATAGAGCTTTTTACTACCTACACGATGGCTACTTCAGCTTCTTTCTCTCACAAATGTTTAGCGAATAAAATAAAAAAATTGATTTTTTTTAATGCCATTTTGTTAATTGGCACAAATTCTCATGTCAGTTTTCATCTTTGTATTTTGCAATATATTTTTTTGTGGTAGAGAATTGAATAGGAAATCTTCGGATAAGATAGTACGCTTGATCAAATCTAAGAAAGAGGAGAAAAATTGAAAATACTGACGAGGGAAAGACATACATACGTCATTTCTCCATAACTTGCCGTTTTTCAGTAATCTTTTTTGTTCTTACTCTATTTATTTTCTTCTGTCATTCTAGAATCACATCATGTTGTTACATTACGTGTAAAATTAATTCGTACGCTAAAATTAGCATTACGATGTTCAAGTGAATTGAATAAAGCAGCTTTCGATGTATGGAAACAATTTTTACGTCATTTAGATGGTGAAATATTATGTTCAATGGTTTTACATATAACAGCTGCTCTATTACCGTTATATGAAACAGATCCTGGACAATTTCAATCGTTGATAATGATTATGTTAAGTCAATGTGATAAAATTCAAGGTAATACTACATCATCAACAACATCAGTACCATCTGTTGATACAATAACAGATTTATTATTAATACCACAAATTGAACAATTTCCAATAATAAAAAAAAAATTAGAAACAATCAAACAAAAACAATTAAAAACAAATTCAACAACTATTCGAACGGGAAATAATTTTGAAACACAACTTGAACGTTTATTACACTTATCAAATTATGAAATAAGCGATATACGGTAAAAACTATTAGTTTGTCATTTAATCATTTATTCTATCAATTTTTTTTAATTTTTAGTTTATGTTCCTTAACTCATTTACATTATTTATTGAAAACAAATCGTTCTCTATTATTACGAATGTGTTTATCACATGATACCGTATCTCCTATAATAGGTCGTCTAATTTTGATATTATTAGAACGTTGTAATGATATTAATTTGAATGTACGTGTTTTGGCTATTGATTGTCTTGGTGAATTGGGAGCCATTGATCCTGGACGAATTGAATTTCCAAAAACAATTGAAACAACATCATCATCAACATCTTTAATCAATCGTTTATTATCAAGTAGACAACAACAGCAGGAACAACGAAATCATGGACAACAAACACCGACTACCATTGATGAACAAGCGAAACGTCAATATTTCAATATAAAATCATCTGAATTTGCTCTTGAATTATTTAGTGAATTAATACGTGCTTATTTAGCTGCCGATGATGTTCGACAACAAGATACAATATCGTATGCATTACAAGAAACATTAAAATTATACAATTTATCATTGACAGAAACTGAAGCAATTATTACACATGAACAAAAACAACAAGCAGAAATATTATGGAAAAAAATAACAAAAGAACAACAAGATTTACTACATCCATTTCGAACATCAAAATATCTTGTTGGAAATATTGATGATTTATCTCACATTAATAATCAACCAGTATTGAAATTAAATAATATAAAAACATACGAACAATGGTTAACATTATGGACATCACTACTCATATCAAAATTAAAACGTAAGAGTATTGTCTGTGTCATTGTAATATCACTCTATTTCTTTTTGCTGCTTCCTGTAGCTTAGTTCAGACTCTAATCGATCAATTATAGTTAAACCATTATCCTTTTCTGAAAACGAGGCGGCTCGGTAGAATGCTTATTACGTTTGAACGAAAAGTGATAGAGACATGCGGTTTTCACCGTTGGATAGAGAACATCGGAGGACGTAAGCGTGTGCAAAAAAATAGGCTTCCGGGTAGGATTTACCATGATAAGCCTTTCGATACAAAGTCTACGAGACCGCCGTTTCTGGACCGTACGATGGATTTTGATTTTCAAACACTGCAATCGATAGTCCGAACCGAGATCTACAATTCTAGACCAGTCTTAACTATCTATCTCTTACGATTCAGGAGCTATACGTGTTTTTTCGAGCTATACGTCGATTTCGGCCAGTTGACCTTGGATAATCTTAAATGGATCAAGATAGGGGTAATCGGCTACGCTGAGTCGACCTAAAGTCACTATATCAAGATTTTCGAAATATCCGCTCTATACGCAACATAGCGGTAGAATGCTTTAATCTGAAAATCTTGATAGTTAGGACTGGTCTAGAATTGTAGATCTTGGTTCGGGCTATCGATTGCAGTGTTTGAAAATCAAAATCCATCGTACGGTCCAGAAACGGCGGTCTCGTAGACTTTGCATCGAAAGGCTTATCATGGTAAACCCTGCCTGGACGCCTATGTTTTCCATACACTTACATTCGCTGATGTACTCTATCCAACGGTAAAAACCGCGTGTCTCTATCATTTTTCGTTCAAATGTAATAAGCATTCTGCCGAGCCACCTCAGTTTCAGAAAAGGATAATATTTCACTCTAAAACTTTTCTATTAAGTTTCGTAACATATATAATTATTTATTTTCTATTTTTTAGCTGATGGTTTCAATTTATTTCGTGCGTGTAGCTATGCTGCACGTTTAAATACATCTGTAGCATCATTTTTATTACCCTATATTGTTCTTCATTTAATTGCGGATGATAATGCTAATGCTCATCAAGCTTTACACAATGAAATGCAAGCTGTTCTAACTTATACATCATTATCACAATTTACACCTACTGTTCATCAACAAGATCAATTTGAAACACCGTCATCTAGTCTTATTTATCAAACAGCACAAACAATGTTTACTATTATTGATTTTTTAATTATGTTTTGTTCATTAAATGAAAAACCAGAACAACATCAATTATCAACTGAACAGACTAGTCGAACAAATATAATTCAATCAAAAAAGTCTGTAGAACAGATAAATGGTTGTTTTACATCTGTTGAAATTGAAAATGTTCGAAATTATGTTCGTTTTGTACCAAATATGGATATTGCTTATTCATCATTCAAATTTGATGCTTATACACGTTCATTAAGACATTTTGAAATGTATTGTAATGATAGTCAAACAATAACAAATATATCTCAACATAGTGAATTTTTAATAAAATTATATCATCGTCTACATGATATTGACTCGGCAAGTGGTCTAATAACAATTCGTGATATGGATCCAATTAAAAATAAAACAACAACTTTATATGAAGAAATATTGTCATATGAATTAACCGGAAAAATAGATGAAGCCATTGTAGCCTATGAAAATGCATTACAAATTGATGAACCAAAACAAAATAATATTCAATTGTATATTGGCTATTTAAATAATTTGATTACACAATATCAATTACAGCATACAATTGATCAAACAACTGGTATTATTGTACAACATCCAGAATGGATAGAATCATTAAATCCTTTAAGAATTGAAGCATCATGGAAATTAGGCAAATGGGATTTACTTGAACAATTTTGTATGAATAATGGAAACTCGACAAATGAAACAACGGGCAATGATGAAGAAAAAACAAATATATTACAAGATTTAAATGTATCAAAACAATTTGAATCAAATGTTGGACGAATTATTAATGTTGCCATTAAATTAGATTATAAACAATTTCAAATGGAAACACGTCAAGCATTAAACTCATTAATTGGACCAATATCAGCTGCCAGTATGGAAATAGGAGCATATGAAAGAGCATATGATAGTTTAGCTA